TGATCTCTTCCTTGCACTCCCTAAACCTTTTACATTCCAACTTAAAATTCTCATCTCACACTACTTTAGAACCCCTTTCTTTTTTAACCTTCTTCCTCGATCCTCTTTTCCCTTCCCTTCCTCCACTAAACTCTTTATTCCCCTCGATATCCCTTTGATATCCCTTTTCAATCTCTCCACCTCACTTAGCTTCCTCTTTCTTTCTTTCCACCTCCTTCAAAGTTCCTTAGATAAGCTTTCAGGTCATTGGGATCTTTAATTCTACATCCAAGTTTCCCAATAAGTTCAGCTACAGAGTCTTCTGCTTCTTTGCTGCCCCCCTCCCAACTTTATTATCCTTTTCTCTCAAAGTAGTACCATTATCCACCCCTAAATTAGCTCCCTGCCACCCAAATTTTCTTGCAAACTTGTCACTTCTTTATCTTTTAAGGCCCCAAACAGGTTACTCATTAGCTCCCAAACCTTCTCCCTTCTTTCCTTTTCCTCATCATCTACTCTTACCAACCCTACTTCCACAGGCTCCTTGTTAACAACACCTTCGCCATCTTTAGTAGCAGGGGCTCTGAGCTCAACAGAGTGGGTAATCACTGGAACACCTATTTCAGGCACAGGGAAATTATTAGTTCTGCAAACTGAATTGACAAGAGTACCTGAGACTGAGGGGAAAAGACACGACTCCACCAAGTGAGCACTCTTTGTAGTCCAATCCAATTCAAGGATAGGGTTGCAACCTTCCAATGCGATTTGTTTGCTCTTGAGGGGAGTTGGCATGTCATTATTCAACCTTTGATCACTTCCAGACCTCTCTTGTTCAGCCCTGATTAAAAAATTTATGTTTGGCCATTGGTTATCAAAAGCTCTGTAGAGATAATGGGCTGGATGGGCCTTAGTTTCATTATTTTACTTTAAGTTGTGTTTATGACTTATGTTAGTATTTACAACAAAAGAATAAAAGAGATCATTGGGGGCTAAAGAGAGATTTGGACTCTTTCTCTCTCTTTGCAATGCTGGTTTGGGGCCCAATGCAGGTTCTTGGAGAGTTTCCAAAAAACCTAGCTAACTGGAGAGCCTTTTGATTACAAGGTATAGAGGGAGTCTTTACGTGGTGTTTGGGATAGAATAGAAGCATTCTAACTATCTTTGAGATTGATCCAAGTTGGAAAAGTTTCTGAAGCCTCTGGTAGGAGCGGCCAGACTTTCTCCCTCTCTCCCATTTTGTCAAGTCCAATGAAAACCCTAATTTGGCTGTTTGAAGAGCAATTTTTGACTTAGGACAATAAGCCTTAACTAGTAACACCCTACTTTGATTTTCATTTATCTCCATTTGGCCAATGGAGCAAACTGGAGGTAAGATGAAACTCTCCACCAATTTTGGGTTTGGCCTAGAAGAGTCTATGGGGACTCTGTTAAGGACAATAACCTCAGTGTAGTAGGTTGGTTAGTGAATTCCATGCAACCACATATCAGTCAGCATTGCCTATGGATAGATACTGCAAAAGAGGTGTGGGACAGTGCTACAGAGACCTATTACCAAAAGTTGAATGTTGCTAGGGCCTACAAGCTGAAGAACGATGTCAATAATTTAAGACATGGGGAGAAACCTTTGGTTGTTTATTTTTCTATGCTGAAATCTCTTTGGTAGGAGATTGACTAGATAGAGACTGTTGTGTGGGGTGTACTAAAGATGTTGAGACTCATAGGAAGTTAGTGGAGAGAAATTTGGTCTTTGAGTTAATCACTGGACTCAATCCCGAGTATGACATTGTTAGACAAAATATTTTGGCAAAAGATGAAGTTACCTTGTCCTAAGCTTATGCCATGGTTATCCGTGAGAAAAGTCGGAAACAGGTGTAGGTTACAGAGGCCTCTACAGATCAATTTGCAAATGCTAGGACGAAGCCAAGGGCTAGTACTGAGAAGAAAGATATAGTATGTGAGTATTGCAAGAAACCTAAGCACACAAAGGATACCTGTTGGAAACTACATCCAAAGCTTTTTTTTTTGGATGAATAATTGATTACTTCATTGAATTTAAAAGAAAGTGTACAAGAGAAAGTGGGAGAGAGACAAGCCCTCTTATCTCTCCCCTTTAACTTTAGTTATAATTAAAATTACATTTGTGCCCAAAATGTTTGAATTCTCCCAACCCCTTGCTTGGCTAGTGCATCAGCCATCGAATTAGCTGTTCTTTTCACCCACTGTATTCTCAGTTCCATGTCCTTTGTGATCCATCTGAACTTTTTCTTCTCATTATTGTATTTCCACATCCTACTTTCCTCATCCAATAACCAAGCCACTACCAGTTTGGAATCCCCTTCAATGATTAGCTTTCTAACATTCATGGTTCTAGCCCTTTGCACCCCTTCCATAACTTCCATTACTTCTGCTCTTAGTGAGTCTCCTTCACCTGTTGGGCCTAAGAATAATGCACACACTATACCCTCCTCATCCCTGAATACACCTCCAATTCCTGACCATCTTAGGTTTCCCATTCTACTTCCGTCAAAGTTAAGCTTTATAAATCCTCTTTCAGGAGGGGCCCAGATAGGAATAACAGGCTGCTTGTTGACATTTGAGTCTGCCACTACCTACCAGTTTCTAATGATGTCATCAGTGGATATATGTTAGAAGCTTTCTAAGGACTTCAGCCATTGAGCCACTCTAATCAGTACTGATTCAATCAAGGCCTCTTTTGTTCTTTCCTATTCTCTAAAAACTATTGCATTTCTTTCTTCCCACACTACCTAGATTATTGCCACCCTAGCACTCTTCCACATGGTGTTACCTATCTTCCTCGGCCATGGACAGGAAGTTGGATCAAAGAGACTTTTGATGTCATCCGGAGGTGTCCACCTACACTCAAATAAGGAAAACAGCCATTCCCAAATGCCAGCAACAAACGGACAAGTGATAAACAAATGAAAGCAAATCTCACTATTAGCCTTGCAAAGAATAGACCTGTGGGGGGAAAGGCACCAATTTTTACTCTTCCTTTGTAGCCAGTCAAAAATATTTATTCTTCCGTGTACAACTTCCCTACAAAAAGCCACAATCCTAGGCGGGATAGGCTTCCACCATACCTCCTTAACAGGAAAAGATTGAAGGGGACTAAGGGGAGGTTGGGTTAAAACTTTGAAGAATTGAGTTACAGGAGAACAGATTCGAAGAGGAAGGTGTCCAAATTCTTTCATCAAACTTATCAGGATCAAAGAAAGTTCCTTCAAGGTTTTGGATTAAAGAGAGTACACTTTCAAATTCTGAATCCCTTAATCCCCTTCTAAAGCCAAGGTTCCAATCAAAACCATTCATTGAGTTTGAAGAGACTAAGAAAGTAGAAATGGGCTCACTCTTGAAACATGATAAAGAATACAAAGAGGGGTATAAATCCTTCAAAGGGGAGTTCCCATACCAGATTTGATCCCAGAATTTGATTAGGTTGCCAAAATTGGGTTCATACATTACAAGAGGCAAGAAACAAAGTAGAATCGCTTGTATGGCCTTCCAAGGTGAAGCTCTGGTAGCCCGTTGCAGTGAAGCAGCATCCCATCCATTGTCCAATAGACTGTGTATGCTCACCACCACCCTTGCCCATAGTTTGTCTCTTTCTTTCGGCATTCTCCATAACCACTTCCCTAGTAGAGATAAATTTCTTGTTCGGATATTTCCTACTCCAAGACCCCCACACTTTTTACCTCTACTGACTATCTCCCAGCACACCTTATGATCTCTTTTCTCTTCTCCTGGCTCCCATAAGAAATTCCTTATTAATTTCTCAATTCTCCTGCTTACTCCCACCAGCATCTTGAAGACTGACATATAGTACAAAGGGAGGTTTGCTAGAGTTGACTTTATTGGGGTGATCCTACCTCCTAGGGAAATGTAGCCCCTTTTCCAACACGCCAGTTTCTTTGACACCTTTTCTACAATTGGATTCCAAAAGCTTGAGTCTTTTGGGTTGGCTCCTGAGGGTAATCCTAGGTAGCTTAAAGGCCATTGAAAGACATTGCAACCCAAGATTTCAGCACAAACTTCTCTATCCTCTATGTTTACACCTGTAATGCAACTCTTCTCGAAATTGACTTTTAAGTTGGATGTTGAAAAGGGTTCTGGTGATGAGAAGTCAGAAGAGGATCAACTAGCAACTGCCAAAGCAAAGTATGAGAAGTATGGACGACTCATTAGCCACATAGAGTCTATTACTACAGCTAGTACATCTTCAGGAAATGGCTCCTCATCTACATATGCCCATTCAAGTATTCGTGCTACTGCAAACCAATGCTTCCATCTCAGGTAATCGTAAAATCCCTTGGATAATTGATTTTAATGCCTTTGACCATATAACTAGTGTGTCCATTTATTTTCTACTTACCAACTTTTATCTGGCCGAGATACGATCTCCCTTGCCGATGGCTCCCTTGCTCCTATGTCTGGCAAGGGAAACATCAAATCTTCAGATACCCTCACCTTATCCTTAGTTCTTCATGTTCCTAAACTAAATTCTAACTTGCTTTCAGTTAGCAATTTGACAAAATCCTTGAACTGTAGTGTGACCTTTTTTCCTTCTTACTATGTTTTTCAGGACATGAAATTTCAAAAGGTGATTAGGAGTGGCCATGAGGCAAATGGAATATAACTACCGGACATGCTTGGTCAAAGTCAAGTATCACCTCCGAGAGCAGCTTTTGGTTCAAATGTGTCAAAGTCAATCAATCATATTATGTTATGTCAATATCGTTTAGGTTATATTTATTTTTCTTCGTTGAGTTTGTTTCCAACTTTGTTTAAGGAAACTAAAATGTCAATTTTACATTGTAAATCATGTAAGTTCTCAAAGCACTGTAGACGCTCTTATTCTGCAAGTAATGAAAGCTCTTATTCTGCAAGGAACATTATCTTTTTTTTTTTTTGATCAGTAACAACTTCAGTAATTTTATTAAAATATGATAGGAATAGTTACATCAAGGAAGACAAACACTCTTATCTTCCAAAGACAACTTAAGTCCTCAAAGAAAGAAAGGAAAAAAGAAGCAAATTAGTTACAACTTAGCCCAAAACATTACATTCATTTCCCGCACCAGCCACTTGAACTTTCTTTTCTCATTGTTGTACTTCCATAATCCACAGTTGTCTTTCCTTAGCCACCCTATGACCGCCTCTGAGTCCCCTTCAATTATGAGTTTTCTGACGTCCATTCCCTTAGCTTTCTGAACACTTTCCATAATTGCCAAGATCTCAGCTCTAAGAGAGTCCCCCGCTCCAATTGGACCTGAGAAAATGGCTGAAATGATCCCATTCTCATCCCTAAAAACACCCCCAATCCCTGGCTGTCCAGGATTCCCCCTACAACTCCCATCAAAGTCCAGTTTTAGGAATCCAGTAGGTGGGGGTCTCCAAGACATCTTCACAACTGATTTGGACTTCATACAGCTTCCAATCTCACCCTACTTCCTTAACATGTCATCCACCGTGTAGTCTGTGAATAATTCAAGAGATTTCAGCCACTGTACAGCCCTGATATGGATCACAACCCTGAATTTTTCAGCCCCTCTCTCCTTATCCGAAAAGATTCTAAGATTTCTTTCTTCCCATAAGGACCAGCATACTGCAGCCCTCAGTCCTCTCCACATTGTCCTTCCCCTTTTCACGTGCCACCTGAACAAAGAAGGAGAAAATAGGCTCTGCAAATCTGATGGAGGGTTCCACCTGCGCCCAAAGAGAGAAAAAGCCCATTCCCAAATTGACTTTGTAAATTGGCACGACGCCAGTAAGGGAAAACCAGTCTTCCCATCCGCTTTGCATAGAACACACCAATGAGGAGATAAGCATGTATTGGGTCTCTTCTTTTGAAGCAAGTTACCAGTATTGAATCTTTCCAGATAGACTTCCTAATAAAAACTACCAACCCTAGGAGGGATTGGTCTGCACCAAACCTCATTAACCGAGAAAAGAGAGGATGCGGGATTGGTGGACTGGCATAAGACTCTAAAAAAGGAAGCACAGGAAAAGGAGCCCGTGGGAGTCGGAGTCCAAGTTCTAGAGTCCACCTTTGAGGGGTTAATGAAGACATTACCAAGGAGGTCAAGAAGGCTCAAGACACTGTGGAAGTCAGAGTCCCTCACAGCCCTCCTCAATCTCAGGTTCCACCCAAACCTAGAATTGGAGGATGAAGGGGTGATGAAAAAAGAAATTGGCTTATTTTTAAATGCAGAGAGGGCATACAGGGAGGGAAACAGGTCCTTAAGAGGAACATTCCCCACCCAAGTTTCCTTGTGGTCCTTGCTTTGATTCCAGCATCCCATCCATTCTGCTCCATCCCATGTATGCTTGCCACTATTCTAGCCCATAGCTTCTCCTACTCCAAAGGAAACCTCAACGTTCTAAATTTTTTCTTGTATTTTTGTACTATTTATTTATTTTGGTATGAAACAGGGGCTCTGTCCCCTTATTTTCCTCCTTTTTTGAGGTGCATTCTACCTTTTTATTGGCCTGAAACAGACCCCTTAAACATAGTCCAAGTCGTCCTCTTATTCAAGCATTTTTATTTTCTTATTTTTTTAAGAATTTTCTTTTCGAAACGAAACAGAGCCCCCTTATTATGTAAATGATGTATTTATGATGGCATTTTTTTTGTATGAAATTTATAGTTAATTGCTCATTTGAATGCTTTTATTAGTATATAGATATGTTGGTTAGTATAAAAAACTAATATAGTAACTTAAGTAGGGATCTATAAATTTTATGCTTTCATATTCCATCGCCTAGGCACCTAGGCGCCTTGACAACTATGCTTTTATTGCCTCAGAGCAACAATTAGCAGATGTTTTGACCAAGCGTGTGTCCCCAAGGCAAAGTTACAACATTGTGTAAGCAACCTGGGCATGATTGATATCTATGCTCAGCTTGAAGGGGAGTGTAGAGAGAATGGGCCGAATGGGCCTTAATTTCTTTATTTTTCTTAAAGTAATGTTTATGACTTGTGTTGGTAGATAGAGGGCCTTAGTTATGGACCTATTTTTTCTTTTTTCTTTTTTGTTGTTTTATTGTTGTCTATAGTGATGGATGCCCTACTAAGGGCACTAATGTAATTGTCCTTATTTTTTATAACAAAAGAATAAAAGAGATCATTGGGGATTGAAGATTGGTTTGAACTCTCTCTTCTTCCTTCCCTTTCTTCCATCTTCTTCCCCCTTTACTTTTCTCTCTCCCGTCTTCTTCTCTTCTGTTTTTCTTTTCTTTATTTTAGACTATTGTAGGTAGGATCTACAACTCTGTCTTCTCACCTATTCTTGAAATCTCCTGTAAAGTGGGTCCAAATATTACTCCATCCAGAGCAACAAAGTCCTCCAATTTCATCCTTGGCACTATTGTGTCACAACTCTCTTTCATGTCTGAAAGAGAAAGGGTAGGGGTTGGTTTAACATCACTGCTGTCTTGCCCAAATAGAATCTCTGTATTTAAATCATCAAGCATTGCATCACTCACTCCTTTTATAAAAGTTTATATATATATATATAATTTAAAAAGTAACTAATGTTTTATTTTTCATTCCTTTCTTTATTTCAAATATAAAGTGAAATCGGATTAAATCCAAACCCAATCCAAGTCCGATAGGATTCAAATCCAATCTGATTGGATTTCAGATCAAATTCAGATTGAAGATTTCAATTAATCGGATCAGATTCCGATATTGCCGAATCCAATCCAAATCTGCCCTGATTACAGTGTTACTTTTAGGGGACATACGGTTTGAAGAGGTCTTCGCATTCAGTTTGTCCACCATATTCGAATCAAGTTGATGGATTAACCCCTGCTGAAGCTAAAAATCTCATATAGCTTCAGTTAGATCCTCTTTTGAACAACTTTATTAGTATTATTTCCTGACTTCTTGATTATCTTGTAAGAAAGAATTGGTGAAATTCAAATTTTCTAATTGGAAGATTCCAAAACATGGTTTGAAGTCAAAAGATGGAAGATACCCATTGAATAGCAGAAAACTATCAAGCTATTATGTATTTAATTCTATCAGAATTGTTTTCTTTAAAATTTACAAATTTATCCAAATTTTATAGGATAATGTTATGTTAATAAAATTTGAAATAACTATAAAATAATTTCAACAAATAAATTCATCAATGACCTGTTTTAATAGAAGATTGCATGCTACTAGTAGGAGGGAATACCAAGAACTTCTTTAACTGTCAATCGGCAGTACGGATTTGGATCGAGCATGCCTCTTACAAGGTCTTTTGCATCTTCAGAAACCTTTGGCCAAGGATCTCTAATAAAATCTATATCCGATCGGACAATTGCCTGTGCAACTCCTTCTTCAGTTTCTGTACTAATACAACAAAAGCCCGCTCATTAGAAACCACTGAAGAATATTCGCAGATGATGTTTTGGACAAACTGAAGTTTCAAATATTGTGTCTGAAATAAAATAGGATCAAAAGCTTCATGTCTGAACTCAGTGATTTGTAACATGAAATTCAGCAACGATACCAATAAAAAGTAATTCACCTGCCCAGAAAGGTGGAACTCCACACAACAAAATGTAGAGGATAACCCCTGCACTCCATATATCTACCTCTGGTCCATAATTCCGTCTGAGGACCTCCGGAGCCATATAAAATGGGCTCCCAACAATTTCATTGAAACGCTGGCCTTCAGCCAAAAATTACCAAAGATGCAGTTCAGTCATGTGAATATAAGACAAAGATATCACGGCATCATGAGAACTGAAGAAACAATAACAAAACAAGAGGAACAAAACTGAAAGATATACCAGGCTCAAAAAATATGGAAAGACCAAAATCAATTGCCCTCAGTACAGAATCTTCAGTTCTGTCTGTAAACAAGAAATTCTCAGGCTTTAAGTCCCGATGCATCACCCCATGATTGTGGCACATCTATGATAAGACAAAACATTCAGAAAAACTAAGACATCTAAAATTGATATTCAAAGTTTCAAACAAACAGAAGAAAACCTTTGAGAAAAAATATATCGCCCACAATTATAACTGAAGGGGTGAACTAGGCATTAAGCATTTATAATGAAATAAAATAATCTAAAGCTGGAATTTTGCTCTTCAAATTTGTCCAAACATGAAAAATTCTTGCATGAACAAGAAGCAATGAGGTAGATGTAAATCCCACCTGTAATAATCTGAAATAAAGTAGAAAAGAAGAAGATAGAAGAGAAGAAAAAATAGAGGAAGAAGATAGAAGAAAAGGAAGAAAGGAAGAGTCAATCGAACCTCTCTCCAGTCCCCCCACTACTGTATTTTTTCTTTGATTGTAAAAGGAACACAATTACATGAATAAGTAAACAATAATAAACTATAGCCAATTTGGCCCATCATCTCTACACTCCCCCTCAAGCTGAGCATAGATATCAATCATGCCCAACTTGCTTACATAATGTTGTAACTTTGCCTTACGGACAACCTTGGTCAGAATATTTGCTAACTATTGCTCTGAGGCAATGAAAGGAAGACAGACTTCTCTAGAAGCCACTTTTCTCTTATAAAATGCCGGTCTAGTTCAATGTGTTTTGTCTTATCATGTTGAACTAAATTGTGAGCTATGTTAACTATAGAACCTAGTTATCACAATACAACATTAATTGAAATATCTAGTCGTGTCATGCAAAGGTATAACAACTTCCCCAAAAGTCTCTAGAAGACTCCTCTATGGTTGGCATCAATAGGTGTAGAGGCCATAAAGGGATTTCTTCAATTTGCACACCTTACCCTTATAAAACTATTCAATTATGTCCCCATTTAAGAAGCCATTCTTAACATCAAACTGATATTACAAACATGTTAGACAGTTATGCCCTTAGCTCCAATCAGATTGATGTACCTTTTGACATTTATTGTAAATGAATAAAGTACATAATTGATTCATGTCATTATGGTGTGTTTCTGTGTAATACCCTTAAACTGGACACTTATGAGACTCGTGTTAGTTTAGAATCTTCACAGCCGTTAGATGGATCTAAGGAGATTTATCCTACCAAGGCTGACACTAATGTACCGCCAAGTTGGTTGGGAAGCTTGTCTCAGCTGCCAGGATGAGACTTAAGATACGTGCAGTGTGGGTTTTCTTGAAACCTTGAACTGGACCAAAATTCCAGTATTGCCCTGGACCTTGGAGATAGATGGGCAAAACTGGAATGTAACAATTGACCCCTAGACTCGATTATGGTACTACACTAGGTGTCGGATTGGGCTGTCTTTGATATGCCAATCAGTGAGATCCTTAGAGGGGGTAAAAAACTGGGTATGTTGGGACAGTCTGAGAATTCACCTGAGTGGGTGATCATAGTGACAGAATCAGCCCCTTTGTCGGACAAAGTGAATGGTCGGGGAATGCACTCTCTCTAATGGAAACCTAAACTGCCGGCAATTGATTTCAACCGTTGAAATTTGTTTTTGCAAAATATATTTATATAAAGATATACATATATATATTATGGTTTCAAAATGTTTGCAATTTGTTTTAATTCCCAGGATCCATGTGAGTAGAGAGTGCAGCATTGTTCCTTGCAGCCGAGGGAGAGGTCCTCTCTTGTCGGGCAGTGTTTGACCATTATGGGCTAAGAGGTTAAGTGTAAGACCATTGAGGGTAATACCTGATGGGCTAATCTTGCATCTGCTCATAGTCCTTGGGTTTTCATAAGGTGGTTGGACCCAAGGACCATTTAGTGTAAATGTTGGACCCATTAAGAGTCCATAGTGATGGGCTCATGGGTTCACTGTCTCCTACAGTGAATTCGATCAGGCCTTGTAACAAAGGATGGGCTGAACCCATGTGGCTGATGTGTAGATCAATGTTTGGGTCCCACACCATACAAAGAGAGCCAACTTGGCAACAGGTTAAAAGGTTAAGTGAGCACATAAGCTTAATGGGCCTAAAGCCCAATTCGAACTGGGTTAATTAGATTAATTAAATAGGGGTGGATCTGGGTTTGGATCAGTAGATAAGGATAAGAAGATAAGTCTTATCCACTTAATGAGTCTAGATCTAAATAAAGATTTGGATCAGAAAACTCCTAATTTGATTAGGATTAAGCTGATCTTAAACTGCAGATAAAATAAGGGATTATCCTTATCACTTAAAGAGTCCAGATCCAAATAAACATTTGGATCAAGAAACTCCTAATCAGATTAGGAGGTTGCCTCTTTAAGGCTATAAATAAGAGTGCAGAGCGGACATGCAAAACATACCAAACAAGACACAGCAAACTGCAGAGTTCTTCCCTGTTCTTGTCGCCCCTATCCAGTTCGATCTCCACTTGTGGGAGTGATCAAGAATTGTTCTTGATATTGCTTCTTGGTAGAAGAAGCAATCTGAAGTCGTGCTCACCAGCCCTCTACTCCATTCTTGCTGAAGAATTTGGTTCTTGCTGAAGAGTTGTCCTGCTGATCCTGCTTCACCACACACTGTGTCATCTTCAGTGGAAGCGGGTTTTGGTTATCTCCTTGGGCGTGAACACCTTCATTGGGAGTTACTGCTACTTCGTATCAGGTATACCCCTCTCCTCCCTTTTGGTTTCAGATCTGGTCCGGTTTGGTTCAAGATTGATCCTTGAAAATGCAGTTTTCTAAAATAGAGAATGCGATTCCCAGATGGGAGAGAGAAATTTTTGAAATTTCGCCCAACCTTCCTGCAGGGTTCGGCCATCCATATGATGGATCTCTCATCCCTTCAAAACAGTCATAACTCACTGCCAAGGACAATAAAACTCTTTTCTTGAAGGGTAAAGAAAAACTCATTAAAATAAAAAAGAGAATACAAAGGGAAAGATAACAAGAAATCACCCAAGAGAAAAGACAAAACTAATTAGACAGATACTCCCAAAGACATTGACATACAAAAACATTCAAAACAAAGAGAATACTCCAAAATGAACACTTGAACCCTGCTTCCTTTTCCATACCTGAAGATTACGAAACCCCATCGATCTTCCTTTCTTCTTTTAATTTTGTTTGGGGAAAATCTATGATGCAGAAAAGGTGGGAAGAGTTTTGACCAATCAAAACCCACCCATGAATTTTGATAAATAACACCTGATTGGCTACCACGTTTATGATTCCAGTTGACTGGTCAGAAATTTTTAGATATCATATCTTTTCCATATCATAGTCGAACCCTTTTGTTTGAGGAGATTTTGTTCAGACTCCTCCGCCTGAAACCTTGTGAACATTTAAAACAAAAAGTACTCCTTCTGTTACATTTTAAACCCAACATTCCAGGTGGACTTTTGGGCTTTCGAAATTTGGCCCTAGAGAAACTAACGGGCTGCTCCTCATACAGATTCAAAGATATCTGATTACTTTCCTTGTCAGGCAGCATCCCTTTTAGCTCTTGAACTGCCAAGTTTCCTTCACTTTCAGCCTTCCCTCCATCAACATTAAAGTTTGAATCACATAGGCCACCCTTTTTTAATTGTTCCAACATCGAGTGATCCCCACCTTTCAAAGCCTCTTTCGAAATCTCCCCCAATTCGCCCCTCGTCACCTTCCCAAAATATCGAAAGTGGATCAGCCCCAACTCACCAACCACACTTTCATCATTAGCTTGATTTATTCTAGAAGCACCCTCTCCATCAACCTCTGGTTCTTCCTTAGCTTGGAGCATGTTCGACTTCTGCAACTTCAAACTAGTTGAATGAGAAGAAGTGCTCCACTCCTCCCTCTACAAATCCATATTGTCTAACAACTACCAGGGTAGGACCCTTCCACCACCACTCTTACATCATACGGTTCTCCTCCAAAATAGAGCAACAAAGAAGTTGGAAAAAGATGGATTTCCACCACCTCAATAAGGATACGAGCAGAGACGAGGTTCTTCCAGTCAATGGTCCTTGAATCAATGAACCTAAAACTGCCACAAGCATCTCCAACCGCCCTGAAAGTTTGAAAACACCAGACATGCAACAGAATGTCATAGACATTTATCCAAACGAAACTTGAAAGCCCCAAGTTTCTTAAAATCTCTACGAGAGGGTTTCATCTCCCCAACCTTAATTCTGGATAATGATGCTTTTCTTGATCGTGATTAAGAATATCAAGAGCTTCAGCTTCACAACTAAAGGAAAAAAGGAAGAATCCCGCATTGAGTCCCCTCACCTAGAAGTGATTGCTTGGTTTCCATTCAATGATTGCCCAAGTCCGCACACTGAGGTCATTTTGGCAACTGGGAGAAAGTCTCCAAATAAAAAAATCCATACACCTATGTATAACCCTTGGCAACTAGTCGGGCCTTATACCTCTCAGCGATACCGTCAACATGATACTTGATGGTGAACACCCACTTACATCCCACTAGTTCCTCCCCATAAAGCAAAACTAATATCCCATGTATTATTTCTATGAAGTGCTTCTATTTCAGTTCTCATAGCCTCCCTCCATTCTAGCTTAGACAAGGCCTTTTATATTGACTTGGGTATAGGTTAAGAATCAATAGAGGCTAGCAAAGAATAATATGATGGTGACGACAAGCCATAAGAAAGGTGTTTGGAGATAGTGTGTTGTACATTTTCTCTTACCTTAATCCCAACTATAGGTAGGTCTAAGTCTAGGAAGGAAGGTGCTAGAGCAGGTGGTAAACAACATACTCTTCGGGTGATGGGAGTGTCTTTGGCTCAATTGTAGATGGGGGAACAACTTGTTCATGTCATAACCTTTGTGTTTGGTACCACCTCTAAACAATAGGATGAGTAGTGAAACTAGATGACTAGTAAGTAGAGAAGGAGCAGGAATAAGAGAATTGGGAGATGAGGAGACCACCAACAAGACAAAAGAAACTATAGAAGATTCAACCCCAAGGTCAACAAGAGATGGCAAAGGAAGTGGTGAAGCAAACAACTCTATAAAATGCTCCCCCTCAGGAGAATGACCAT